CTCCGAACTGAGCTCTGAATTTCTTCTTCGTTAAACTCTTTGTATTCTTGAGAGTTTCCATCGTCGCCGGAAGGAAGAAACTACCTCCAACTCCCTTTTATTTTTTCTATCTTTTTCCTTTTTCTTATCTTTTCCTTTCTTTTTTTTTCTTTTTTCTTCCTATTTTTTCTTTTTTCTTTTCTTCTTTTTTCTTTTTTTTTTTTTTCTTTACATCGAGGTTAATTAAACTAATGCTAAAGTATGCAAAAGGGAGAAACAGAAAGAAAATATTAGTGATTCATTTCGTAACGTTGAAATGTTTCCCGTTTCGATTAGATATTTTTTTTTTTTACTTTTATACTATCTCATGATGAGGTGATCTCGTTTGTGATTTACGTCAAAGAATGATCTTTCTTTTCTTCCGCCTCCTTTTTTTTTCTTAAATAACTTTTCATTAAAAAAGAAAAAAAAAAAAAAAAAAACAAATGAAATCTAACATCTGTTAGTGCTAGACAAAGATTTCTATTCTATTTAAATTTAATATAAATTCGAAGAGTAGAGATATTATGAAAAAAAAAAAAAAAAAGAAAAAAAGAAAGAAACGCATTGAGAATGCAATTGGAAGAACCTAATGTCGTTTCGATTTCGAACTAAAAATATATGTAAGTTACATTGTACAAAAATAACTTCGATGAAAAGTAACAAAACGTGGAAAAAAATAATGTACATGCATACACACATACATACATACATACATACATACATATATATATATATATATATATATATATATATATATATATATGTATCTTATACATTGAAAATGTTTCCTTAAGAAGGCAATGACACGATCAGCCAGGCCACAATACTCACGAATGAATTGAATGGGGAAAAAAGAAATGGCATGGTTCCTTTATCGAAGAGGATACGCTCGTGAACTGATCGTAAAAACTTGCTATGTCCTGAAGCAATCTCAATGTATACATATACAGATATAAAAACCATACGTGCACACATACACACACACACACACACATATATATATATATATGTATATATCCTTACGTAGGTGTTCCATGCCATTTTGTAATAAATATCTGTACGTCGACGAACAATGGAAACGCGACGCGCCGAGACGTCGAACGGAAGAATAGTTCGCGAGACCTGAGATATTGCTCTTAGTGAATAACGAAAAGCATCGAATTCGACGCACGCCTTTTCCTCATCGTCCTTTTACACCGGCCCCCTCCCTCCCTCCCACCCTCCTCCTCATCTCCTTCCTTACATCCTATTCTCAATTCCCAGACTCTACGTACGTGCATATATTTTACCATAGTTATATACATGCGCACGTATTTAGATATATAAGTATATAAGTACTTATATACACATATATATATATATACGTTTTATAAAAACATTATTTTAAAAATTCGTAATAAAATATTTTCATTCGTTCGAACGAAATAATTTGATATTTAATTGCGGTTAATACATGGGTACTTATACATGTAGAGGTATATATATATATATATATATATATATATATATATATATATATATATACAGGCGTTAGATACACAACGATCTCTTTCCCTTTGTCTCTAACATTTGCAATCAAAGCCCATTTGTCGAGCTATCGCGTGACACAAACAATTCGTCTTTGTAATTGAGAAGCACCACCAAGGTGTCTCGCTCAAGGCTTAACGGGAAATAGGCGTTAATTATTCCAATGTATACTAATTGCTGATTCGGTGGATTATCTGGTTATCTACTCCACTCTCTGTCTGTCTCACCCCCTCCCCCTCGTCTCTCTCTTTCTCTTTCTCTCTCTCTCTCTCTCTCTCTCTCTCTCTCTCTGCGTATTTCTATTTGGTTAACTTTCGATTTTCCTCGTTTAATACGTCATATTGTTAAATATTTCATCAAATTGTTTTATCTCTTGGGAAATCGATAAATTGTTATTTAAATAAATATATTTTCTTAATTTAATGAAATGAAAAACTACAAATATGTATAAACTTTCTTTCTTTCTCTTTCCTTCTTTATTTATTTATTTATTTATTTATTTATTTATTTATTTATGTATTTATTTCTATCTTTTTTTCGGTTCTCATTCTCCGTTTGTTAATGAATCGAACGAGGAGATTACGTAACACGTGAAAATAGAGAAAAATACGAACGCGAAAGGTATTAAAATGTAGTTCCATATAGCGGTCGGCTTCTAACGATTAAAGGAGTTAATGATGATTAATAAAAATGCGAGCAGATTATCCTGGTAACGAGGATTTTGCTGGTCCGCCTTCGGTAAAGCCGGGCCACCTCCTATCGCTTATGACGTTATTAAGAGAAATTTATCTACTTCTAAAATGACCGTAGAAGAGCTTGAGAATTCGTTTAAAAGAGTTCCTTTTGACGCGTAACCATCAAGAGGATACAACCAGTACGATGGCGAAAAATTGCCCGACACCTTTTTTTCTTACTCATTTTATTTTACATTTTAATTGGAATCATTAGTTATTAATCCTTATTCAGATGGTTACGTCATAAAATGATTTCTTAATAATCATATAATTAACATTTTAATGAACCTTTATGATTAACGAAAATTTATTTCCAATTATAGATATAGATCGTCATTATATATTTTCTAAGGAAAAAAATTTATTTTATAACCAGTGAAAATGGAAAGCTAAAATATCATCTTTTTCTTTTTTTCATTCTTTTTTTATTTTTCCCTTATTTTTTTTCTTCCCTTCTTTTTCTTTTTTCTTTTTTTCTTCCTTTTCATAGAGAAAATAGTCCGAGGACTGAGATATACGCATCGTGTTCATTAGACTTGCGATTTAAAAGGTTTTAAGCGTTCAAAGGCTTGTAATATCGAGCACGATCCTTCCAGACCGTAGAAGATTCGCCCAGGACTAATCTTCTTGAATTTATGGACCCTCCCGATAATGTCCAACCTCGTTCATCTACCTTCTCCTCCTCTTCCTCCTCCTCCTCCTCCACCTCCTCCTCTTTTCCTCCTCCTCCTCCTCTTTTCCTCCACCTTCCGTTCACCTTAATTTTAACCTCGGCCCGCTCGATTCCACTTCGCACGAAATTTTATGAGTATTTTCCCATTTCCAACTTCACAGTACCATCTACCATCTCTCCCTTTCTTTTAACCTGACCTCTTTCATCCCTATTCTTTATTTTTCTTCTTTTTTTTTTCTTTTCTTTTTTCTTGTATCGCTCCATTTACCACATTACTATAATCATCGCTATCGATTTTACATGTACCTATTTGGGTCATTATAGATACAAATGTTATTACACTCGAGATAGTTGGAATAACTTTTTCCTTTTCTTTTTCATTGCTCTTTCTTTTTTCTTTTTTTTTTTTTTTTAATTTTCCTAATTCGTGTTGATATATTCCTTTTCCAATGAAATGACGAAGAAAAATTTCATTCGCGATTCAAATGAATTTCATCTGTATCCACGGTAAATGATCCTCTTTGCAGATCGCATCGATCTTCCTTCGCTATTTCAAATGGTCTCTCTCTCTCTCTCTCTCTCTCTCTCTTTCCCTGTCTCTCTTTCTTTCTTTCTTTGTCTCTCTCTCTCTCTCTCTCTTTCTCTATTTCTCTTTTTCTCGCTTGTTCGAGATCTTCCATCGGCTTCTACCGAAAAATCGATGAATTTACAATAGCCGACTCATCTATATTTATGGGGCGGATATGTACGGCAGGAGGGTGCGACATTATTCAGTTCGTACGACGATGACGCACCGAGGCAAATGCACATGACGGACAACACGGCTCGTTAAAAATTGAATCTATTTGCGCGTCGGGGCTTGAAATTCAAATGCCACGAGAAATATCCATGCCTGCCTGACTTCCACCAGCGGTAGGAATGGCCTATAATCGATATATCCATCGCCAATGGTCGCCAGAGTTAAAAGGAGAAGAGAAATTGGGAATGCTTGAGAATTCGTGTATTCGGTGTTCCATATCACAAAGAATAAAAGAGGGAAGGAAATGAGTGCACTTGAAAAAATATTACATTCCTTCGTTCTCTAATACATTTAACTTTTTATTGATTCCCCGAGAAATGCAAAAGATTGATTTCGTTTTTATTATCTTTTATTTTCTTCCCTTATCCCTCTTTGCATCTCTCTCTCTCTCTCTCTCTCTATATATATATATATATATATATATATATATATATATATATCTACCTTTATCTCTCTCTAAAAAATAGAACCACCGACTAGCATTAAATTTAATTAGAATTTTAATTCGTAGTATGAATGGAAAGTGGAAGAGGGAAAGAGAATACGTTGGAATTTTTTCATTTTATGACAAGACAAAAAGTACGCGTACACACGTATAGTTCTTTCTAGTTCTTTTATACTTCATTAGAAAGTCATTGGCGTTATTCGTTTTTCAATACAAACGATTAATTTTATATATTTTTTTTCCTTCTTCTTTTCTCCTTCTTCCTCTCCTTTGGACCCCATCCCTCTTTCCCTTCGAACATTTTCACCATTTTATTTTGAATTTCGAGGAAAAATTTTGTTCGTAACGCGGGCAGATAATTTTCATGCCAAGTAGACGGAAGTTCTAATTCATGGGACGAGCACATTTTCAGACGTATATTCCTCTTCATATGCATATAAAAATTGAGAGAGACATAAAGAGAGAGAGAGAGAGAGAGAGAGAGAGAGAGAGACTTTTCTCGGTAATTTCAAGCATCTAAAAAAAGAGGTCGAAAAAAATTAGCAACACTCACGTTGTTCTTGAGCTTTTTCTCTCTTTCTCTTCTTCTCTCCTCTCTCTCTCTCTCTCTCTTCCTTCTTGTTCGTTAAATGATCGTAACGCACCATAGTTGGTTCAACTCCTTTTACGAGAACGACGACGACGGAATGGTGGTTGGTCTCGCTCGGCTCATTTATTTTCCCCTTTTCATAATTTTTAATTCCATTCCAGCCAGATTACGGGAAGAATACTTAAATAGCGCACGGAATTTCTTAATTACAGATGATGCATAGCCACGAGACGATGAGGACGCATTTTCCCTACCCAACCGGTAGTCAACCGCTTTTAAACGAACGTTCGTCTTATCCTTATAGTCGTTTCTAATGACAAAGATCAAGGCCATTACGTTAGAAGAAATAATATATATATATATATATATATATATATATATATGTGTGTTTGTACGTATGGATACCTATATGAATAAATAAGTATATATCTCACATTCACAATTTGTGCATTGAATTGTTATTAATTATTAATTAAATCAAATAAATATATAAATGTATGCGCATACATATGTAACAATACCGTAATAATCATATGTCAATAGATATAAATATATTTATTTGACAATATTTAAATATTTCAGAATAATATATATATATATATATTTTTTTTTTTTTTTTAATCAAACTATTATTTCAATCAACAGCTTGAATATTTGAATCTTCTTGTAACATTAATATCGAATCGGATTGGTCGCGTTAATCCGTTCATTTTCTACATCTTTCGACATAAACTGATCGTTTGTTTAAAGACATCCACACCAATAATCGATTTCAAGATCGAACAATGGAAAGTAATGCGACGATTTAAACCTCATTTCGAATGGATTAATCGGACTGAGGGGCTGATAGAAACGAAGTAGAGAAGGAAGGAGAATTAAAGAGGGATTGGAACGAAGTTAGAGAAAGAGAGAGTGAGAGAGAGAAAGGAAGAGAGAGAGAGAGAGAGAGAGAGAGAGAGAGAGGTTAACTGTTGGGACCGTTTCTGGTTGCCAAGCGACAGAGTATAGTAGTTTTCGCAAGCGTGAAAGCTCCTATGCGACTCTCTCTCTCTCTCTCTCTCCTCTTTGTATAGTTTGCTAAGCTAAAGTCTCTGGGAGAGGCTCGTGTCCCTTAATTCTAAGCCGGCTAATCTAAACGGCTCGAGTCAACCCGGTAATTAAACGAGCAATCTCATCTTTCTTGTCTACGCTTTTCTTTTTCTTTTCTTTTTCTTTTTTTTTTCTTTTTTCTTTTTTTTTTTTTTTGATCTACTCTTAGTTTTCCTCTTTTCTTTTAATCTTCTTTTTTTTCTTTGCGGTTAGAGCTCAACAGAGAGAACTTAGTCGAAGTTAGGCGAATAATGAAAACGTCATCGACGACGTCCTCGAAAGGAATTCTATTGAAAACGTGAGTTCGTGCAAACAGTGTCCATTGTCATTTTCATGATGCTCTGATTAAAATATATTTCTATGATAAAACGACGACGCACTCTATCTTGACTAAGTTTCTCCACCGTCTCCCACTCCACCCCACACCCACCTCCCTTCCTTTTACTCGTTCATCGAGAGTAGAGAAATTCTTCTTCACGTGCTAATATTACTTCTATTACCATCACCGTTATTATTAATATCACTCCTATCATTTCTACTACTAGTTTTACTACTACTACTACTCCTATCACACCTACTACTATTATTACTACTATTTACAACTACTACTATCACTCCTATCACTCCTACTATTATTATTACTACTATTTACTACTACTACTATTACTACTACTACTACTACTACTACTACTACTACTACTACTACTACTATTGCTACTACTACTGCTACTATTATTGCTACTATTATTACTGTTCAACTACTATTGCTATTATTACTACTATTACAATTGCTGCTTATTACTGCTACTATTACTACTACTATTACTATTACTGCTACTACTAATACTACTAATATCGCTGTGGGAAGCTTTATGGTTTAATAATCTCTTCCATTGGGCAGAAATTCTGTTGCAATTTTGAAACTTCGTACGTACGGCCCTGTCGTAAAAGCCGATTGTTCGGGATTCTCTCTCTCTCTCCCTCTCTCTCTCTCTCTCTCTCTCTCTCTCTCTCTTTCTTTCTCTTGCGTGCCTGTCCGCACCCTGCGGCTACGTTGTGATTATTTGTCGTTCGCTCTAACTTTCTCTTTGCCTAGGAATTTCGCAGGTCACGTTTAGAAGACTGGACTTTCGACGGAAGGAATATCTGACATCTTTGTCGTTCATACGCATAGGAAAATAATAATAATAATAATAATAATAAAAATAATAATAATAATAATTATTATTATTATTATTATTATTATTATTATTATTATAATTATAACAAATTACATTTATAACGCATTGAGTTAGAATCCGAAAGCATTAATTAGCTTGATAGAACCGGACAAAATTTCATTGCGAAGCTCTATGTTCTTTTTTTCTTTCTGTTTTTTTTTTCTTTCTTCTTCTTTTTTCTTTTTTTTTTATCCTACTCTTCATCTCTTTCTCGTTAAAAACGCATAACTTTGAGAAAAATGCAAGGGAGCGTAAATTTTCTAGGTACTTCGGGAAACGAGATAGCGAGCTTATGTCAGGAAGGACGAAGGACGAAAAAAATAATGAAACGAGAATGTAACGAGGTGAACAAGGAAAGAAAGAGAGAGAGAGAGAGAGAGAGAGAGAGAGACAGAGACAGAGACAGAGACAGAGACAGAGACAGAGAGTATCCTTCGACCACGTTGCAATTCCGGGGGTTACTTCGGGCACATATATTCAAGTTAATGACAATTATTATCCAACGAACACGGTCCTTCGTCTAACAGATAATTAAGTACATTATTTATGCAGGATAACGAAGCGGCTTAATTCTTTGCTTTTTTTTTTTTGTTTTCTCTTTTTCTTTTCTTTTTCCTATTCTTTCAAGTTCCTATATGTCTTCTCATTTATTTTTCTTTGATAGAAAAAATATAAGTCAATCGATAAACGTTATCGTACATATCTGTATGCATTGAAAAAAGAGGGAGATCAATTTTTGTCAATAAAAGATGACAATATGCATTATTGTAAAATTACGTATCTACTAATATTTCATAGATAATAAGTTATTACTTCATTATCTTTCACGAAGTTTCGTTTAGTTTCAATAAAATTTCAAAGTCCACATAACTTATCCAAGCAACTTACTACGCGTCCGTATCGATTTTCGTTTAAACTCGATCCCACTCGAGACACCAAAAAATACAATAAAAGATCTCTCGTTTCATCAAGTCGGGATCATTTGTAAAACTCGTGACAACAAGTTCACGTAATTAAAATTAATAACGAGATATAATTAATAAATTTTATCGATTATCATTCAAAACTCATATTCGATGAATGTGAATATATTCGATTACATCGACAATTGTTAAAGTCATGAGTACGATTTTACGATTGATCCCGGAGAATTTATGGATAATGTAACGTAATTAAAATTGACAATGGATAATAAGATAGGGTGATTAGTGGGTGGATGGGAAGGGAGGAGAGAGATGGAAGAGGAGGAAGAGGAGGAGGAGGTTAGGAAGAGGAGATAGGGAGGCAAGTTGATGGTACTGAAAGGGTGAAATAGGAGGACGAGGGGATATTTGAGGTAACAGAGCTTGGTAGCTGAGAGAGCGTCGTCTCGAAACGGTATCCCGAAGGAGCAGATAAGACCGTTGAAATATCGACAGCGAGTGAAGGGTGTACAGAGAGAAAGAGAGGGGGAGAGAGAGAGAGAGAGAGAGAGAGCGAGAGTAAAAGGGAGAGAGAGAGAGAGAGATAATCCTCAGGAGAGCTTCCCGCCACGGAGCTTAACCAGTCAAGGATAATCACCGTAAGGTAGCAGTAGATCGGCGTGAAATGGTATAGACGTCGACGATCGTCTCGAATTTCAACGAGTTCGCAATAAAGATTTGTCACATTAGGTATCACATTGGCGTTAGTTCGAGAAAGATCACGAAATTTCAACGTTTCGTATATATTAGATGTAATAGAAGAGAGAAAGATCGAATATCGTTGAATGATTTTAAGAATATTTCGTTCCCCATCGCCTACCACCCTCCTCCCCCAACCCCTGACCACTGTGTCCCTGTTCCACACCTCTCGACAAACCCGCAGTTACGAGAGACCCAAATCTACGAAGAAGCTTAACGAGTTTCGAAAGCAAACCAAGAAGGATTTATGTATATTACGATGGTGAAATAGATTTTTCCCAAGGGGATGTATGCATTTAAAGCCAGTAAATGAAATCCTTGCGAATCGATGATCGTAAGCTTAAACTATCTTTTTCTTTTTTTTTTTTCCCTTTCTTTTTCTTTTCCCTAGTTCTTTTCCAAACGAGATCGGGTTCGTTCACATTCTAATAAATATCATTTTCATTTCCACAGACTGAGCGAGCGGCCTGCAACGGCCTCGATAAAGTCGGAACTGTGCAGGGTTCGCGTCAAGGGACGAGTGAGTTTCGAAACCGAATAGAAAGGGTGAATAGAGAGAGAGAGAGAGAGGGAGAGAGAGAGGGAGAGAGAGGATGAGAGGATGAGAGGATGAGAGAATGGGATGGACCGATGGAAAAGGGGTCGATCGTACTTTAAACACCGGTGGCCGCTCTCGCTCGTCGATAAAGTAGGCATTTAAACGCGTCAAATAAATCGTGCCCGAAACGATAAATCTCTCCTCGTCGGTCCAGCCGATCGGTTCGCATTTTCGAACGATCCCGTAACCCGTTATGGCTCTTCGTTACCACGTTAAGTCCCTCCTGCCTTGCCTTTCCTCTTTCCTTTCTTTCTCTCTTACTCTCTTACTCTCTCTCTCTCTCTCTTTCTCCCTCTCTCTTTTCTTTTCTCGTTTATTTTCCTTTCTTTTCTTTTTTTCTTTTCAAGCCTCCCTTTTTTCTTCACAAGTTTTTTTGTCCCTTTTTCCCTTCCTCCCTCTCTACCAACCTAACTGTTCTTCCTTTCATTTCTATCCTATCTCCTTTCTACCTAACGTTTATCTCCCTATCTATCTCTCCTTTTTCATCGACCGTGAAATTGCACCACCAACGTTACTGGTCCCCTTACGATGTCGATGTTCTTTTAAATCATCCTGGAAAAGGTTGTCTTTTCGAAAGAAGAAGAAGAAGAAGAAGAAGAAGGAGAAAGCTGATCGCCTTTGAGAAACTTATTCTATTTGAAAGACGATCTCTTTCGATGTTTATATGTGTATATGTGTAAAAAGAGAGAGAGAGAAAGAGAGAGAGAGAGAGAGAGAGAGAGAGAAAGATTGAAACTAGTACCTGTAATTACGAATTCCTGTTTAGTCGTCGCG